ATTAGGTCACCTTGCCAACATGTGAAAGGAGGCACAGGGGAGTCAGGTCACAGTAATCATGTCATGCTGCTCTTCCCCATTTCCAAACCCTGTTCTTGCCTTCTGGGAAGAGCTCTTGTGTGGTGCTACAGGAAGAGAGGAGGTGGCACCAATTCTTCTCCATCTCAGAAGATGCAGCACCGTGGCAGGAAGGTAACAGATGTGAAACCACATCCAAGGATTTTGGAAAGGGAAAAGAATAACCTGCTAAGAAGTCATGATCCAAGTGGGGGACAGTGCTGTAGTGGGATGAGTGTGGAGCAGTTGGGCTTTGAGATTCTCTGTTCAGCTTATGTGGCACATGTAATGTGGCTGTGCAGGTTGGCTTTGTGTGGTAGCTTTCTGTGCTGTGTTTAGAGGAAGTTCCTTCACGAAGAGCAAACTGGTAAGACAAGAGGAAGAGCTGCTGCTGGTAGTTCAGCTGCACAGCTTTGACATGGCTGGAAGAAATGATGCAGGTGCTGGTTGGCTCTAGGTGCAGGTGGCAGATGAGCCACCTCAAGTATCTGGTTGTGCTGGGTGGATGGACAAAAGGAAAGGAGAGCTCAGATAGTTATAGGGGGTGTTTGAACAAGGGTGTTGCCTTGTATCCAGAAAGCTGCTGTTCCCTTTCCTTTTCCTGGCTTGTTCCTGAAGTGGGAGATTAGAAAATGCACCATAGAGCAGCCACTGTGCTGGCTGGACCAGTTGGCTGGTTTTTAAATATTTGCTTGGGTTTAAACAGCAGCTCAAAGTCAGGCTGTGGTGGCTTTGGCCATGGTCAAGTATGGAGCAGATACTCTGCTTCCAGCTCCTGCTGTCTGCAGTGGTTCATGGAGTCTGCAGGTGTGGGGGGAGCCAGGTATTTGCAGAGCTGAGACAAGTGGAAGTGTGTGTAATGAAGAAGATATTGCCAAAATCAAATTTTATCACAGTCAGGGGCTTTGTCTGCAGAGCTGTCTTGAAACTGAATGTTTGCACTGAAGCTTCACAAATGGCTTTTAGGTGCTTGTCACAGAGTGGGGAAGGAAATGCAGCCTGGGCTGGAGAGCCCTTCCCAGCAGTGCAGGAACATGCTTTGGTGGCATAAAATCCTGCAAAGGCACCTGCCTCTTGAATTTTGATTCAGCTGAATGTCAAGGCTCTCTTAACAGATTGTCCTTTGTCTTGAGAGCCTGGTACAGTGGGTTTTGACAGTCTTCAGGGGAGCATTTTGAAATACAGTCTAATACAACGTCAGTGTTTCCTAAACACTGCAGTGTGTGTCACTTCCTCATTGAAGCACAGGTGACTTCCAGGCTGTTTACATTTAGGCTGTGAATTTGAGACAGATTTTATAAACACTCCTGTATCCACAGCTTGATATCCTCTTGGCACGTGTTGAGACTGCAGAAAGTTAGGTCATCTTTCCTGGGTAATGTTTAGAGAGAGATTCCAGATCAATATACATTTTTGTTGTCCAATTGCTCTGAGCAGGGTTTTTAAAGCCATAAAGAGAATTTTTTTGTCTTGGATCAGGTCTCCAAGGAGTTGGTGAGAGGATGGCAGAGCAGGGAGAGGAGCAGGAGCTCTGAGTGATCACACAGGGAGAGCTTACACTGAGATGTTAAAAAATTAAAGCTGGGAGCATCCTGGAGTAGAAATTCCTCAATTCTGCTGTGCCCTCAGCATGGAGCTTGGCAGGACTGGACGTGCACAGCTCCTTTAGTAGAGCCCAGTTCTGAAGGACTGCTGCTTTTAAAAACAAAAGCAACCCCCAACTGAGTTTTCTGTCTCTCTTGGATGGAGAAGGGAGCTTCCAGAAGTGAACTCCTGCTCTGGTGTCTGCTCAGCACTGGTTAGCAAGGGAGATTTCTACAAATACTGTAAAATCAGCCTGACTGTTCTCCAGTCTTGGACACTTCAGTATTGGCAAAAGCCTCATCCTCCCCATAGCCAAATAGTGCACCATGCAGTAGGGAATTTGTTGATGGGCCTTATTTTGCTTGGAGATGTCATGTAGCTACAGAATTTTGCCAGGAGAAGCTATCTCTCTCTACAGGAATGTGAGCTCTGAGTTACCTGTAGTGGCAGCCTGTCCTTTCCTAGTGTAGATCTGCCTGTGTCTGGAGACAAGTGACCCAGGAATTGTGTAACATTCCATCCCATTATGCTGTTAGTCCTGAAACCCAGTGCAAACAGTTCTTGCTGTTACTTTAATTCTTCTATCACCTAAAGCAATGTTCAGGAGCTTCTGGATGGGGGGAGATTTAGGGAGAAAAGATCTGGGGAGGGAGGAGAGAAGGGGAGAGGTTGTGGGAAGGGGAGGATTTATCTTTGAACTCTGTAACAGATGGGTACCCCCAGGCTGGGTGGTGGCTAAGGCTGTGCTCTGCCCTTGACTGGGCTGCAAATCTCCCTTTTGGCACAAGTCCTGTGGAATTCATGTTTTACAACAGGAGCTGCACAAACAGACCCCCTTGCTTGTGGCCTTGACTAAAGCGAGGTTTTATCAGCCTGCCTCACAGGCTGAGATCTGGGCTTAGACCCTCAGAAGGGGATTTGGTGGAAGGTGTGTCCCTTGGGTAAACATCCTTGAGCTGCTCTGGGGGAGCTGCCTCTCAGTCCCTCTGACACAGTCCTGCAGCTCACAGGACTGCAGAGATCTGCAGCTGGGGTTGAGGAAGGACTTTATGGGCAGTTCTCTCTCATATCCTTCCCATTGCTGTCTCCCTTGTTTAATTGCACTCAACAGCTGGAGCAGAGATGGGATTTATTGCCTGACCAGAGCAACCTGCTACTGCTCATTTCTGTAAGTTGGCAGCTGCTTTCTGCTGCCTGCTCTCAGGTTTGACAAGCTGAGCTGTTCAGTGTCCCTCTTCCCATCAGGGAGCAAGCTTGCCTTTCCCATGTCTTATTTCAGCAGCACAAGCTGCATTGCTGCTGTACCCCTGAGTGGGGGAGCACTGGGCTCTGCTTTCTTCTTCCCACCTACATCCTCACAGGGCTTCACAAACCTCTGCTGTGTTTCTTTACCACCACTTAGCATTGAAAGTGTCAGCTTCCAGGAGGTGTTTTGCTGAGATATGTCTGGCTGGACTGTTTTTGAGGCTTTCTTTCCTTCCATGAGATGCAGCATTGACTAAGGGCACTTGCACAGTCTTGTTAATGGACTCTTTTTTTCCCAGCAGTGAGGTAGGAACGTGCTGCCTGCAGTGGAGTCAGGGGGCACGTGCCTCCAAAAGGGAGCTGGCAAGACTTGCTGTGCAGTTGTGGAGGAACAAGTGTGAGTCATTAAACATTCACACTGGTTTGGTTTGTGTGTGATTCTTGAGCTTGTTCTGACTTGGGTGCCTTGGCAATGATCAGGCCAAAACTTAGTGGTTGCAAATGCCCGTGGGACAGGCAGCAGGATTCCAACGGGTGGCAGCAAGTGCTTGATGGATCCCATCTGCAAAACCCACCTTTCCTCTGCATCTGTGCCTGGAGTCCCCAGCCAGGCCTCTGCCTGACCAGCTGCCAGCTCTTTTTGAAGATGCTGAAGGTGCTGAGGGTGCCTTTGTGACACAACAAGGAGTTTAAACTCGGCAGGGCTGATGAGAGAAGCCAAAGAAGAGGTTTGGGTCTGGGTCCCAGGTGATGCTGCAGTTGGTAGGTGACAATCTCCCACCTACAATTCTTGATGTGGGAGCTCACTCAGCAGCCCCAGCCATGGCAAAACATGCTGCCAAACATAGGGTCAGGAATGTGCGTGTGCCAAACACGTGCTTTGTGGCCAGCTAAGCCAACAGACTCTCTTGCTTTTGAGTATCTGTTATCACAGCTGTCCTGGGCACGCTTTCCAGGCCAGCTTCTAGCTGAGGCCTCCAGCTGGTGGGCTCACAGATGAGCCCAGCAGGTGCTGGTGGGTCAGCAGCATCCTGGTGTTAGGCTGTGTCACTTACTGGCTTCTGAAAAAATGTCTTTGTGATAGTTGAAGGCTGAGTCTGTGACTAAGGAGATGAAGAGACCCACTGCTGAAAGCTGAAAGTTCAGCAAGAAAGCTGAAAGCAGAAAGTGACAGATTGTGGGCCCTTTATTTAGGGTTAGTCACATCATTCTGGCAGGTGTCCAGGTGAATGCAGCATGTGTGCAGACAGGAAACTACCACCCTAATCCATGTATTGAACAAAGGTATTTTTCAGGCATAAACTTTTCTAATCCAGTTTGTGGGCATGGCCACTGAGCAAAGCCTGGAAGAGAGGAGGGAACTTGCCCTGTGCTCCAGCCAGCTGAGTTGCTGCAACACACCTATCCCAAGGGTCTCCCTGGTCTCTCAGCTGAGGCTCAGGGTTAAAGCACCTGTGCCTCTAAATACTTACTAATTGATTACTTGTCAGGATGGTTAAATACACAAATATCACCTGAGGAAATAAGTCTGCCTTCTGGAGCTGTTTCAAATGCTCTTCAAATGGAATCTTGTACTAGAAAAATAAAAAAAGGAGCAGATGACTGGAATCTTAGTTGGGATGAATCTTGTAGGTTTCACATTTGAGAAGAGGAAAGGAATAACTTAAAAAAAAAAAATTAAAGGTTAAAATCAGATCAGCTTGAGTTATTTCAGAAGGAGGAATTGTTTTTTGGGAGGGAGAAAAAAAATAAAGATGTGGGAGTCAAAAAATAAAAATTATTCATTTGCCATTAATCAAGTGTGAGTAAATCATTAGTGTTTAGTTCCACAAGGGATCTGCCTCAGGTGGCATTGTGTAGGTGAGCAAGATGTCCTCTGCCATCAGGAGACACAACCTCTGGTCAGTTCACCTGCTACAGGGCAGTGTGTCCCAGGGGCCTTGGAGGGGAGGACAGGACACCTAGTTCTGCAGCCTGGCTGGTGCACTCAGCTCCCTGTTAGGCAGTGCTGTGTTTTGGTGGTGTGTCATGTTTGGTCCAGTCTCTGCTTTGGGTCACAGACTGTTGGGTTTCTGCATGGTTTTTAATTTCTTTTTTTTCTCCCCAGGCGTCTCGGTGCTGAGCTGGGGAAATCTGTGGTGTACCAGGAAACCAATGGAGGTGAGAGAAATCTTTACTGTTTGCAACTGGTTTAAGGTGATCTTAGAAATACTGAGGAACTCTATTGGCCAAACCTGTCTGCTAAGTGCAGTGATGAAGCTGTGATGTTACTGCTGCTCCTGGCAGTGCTAAACCTCCCTGCCTGGCCTTGGACAAGGCAATTAAATGTGTCCATTGTTTTTCTCTCTTACCTGGTTTGCCCATCAGCTGAGCCCTACCTGGGGTGTTGGCTGCTATGAAATCTCACACACTCTTGTGCTTAGCAGAACATTTTCCAGGTTTAAAAGTAAGGGTCTGATTTCTAAGTGTCTGCCTGACAAACTTTTAAATTATCCCCTTTCTTCCAGCCCTCCTGTGCCACACGCAGTTTGCAGCTGCTCCAGCAAGGACCTGTCCTCTTGTTTTAAAGAGTACAAATTTAGGGCTGTGCTGGGGAGGGTGCCTCAGACTTGCTTTCATCTCTTTAAATGTAGCAAGTGTCTGTATTCAGATGCTGGGCTGAAACATGAGGATTATTGGCTAACAGTTCAGTGGCTAAGAGTAATGTACTCATCCAAGATCTTGTTTGCAAGAGAGACTAGAACCTGAGAGAACAGGTGAGAGGAGGGGTTGGCAACAGCCCTGGCTTGGTGTGGGGGCTTCTGGTGGTGCTGCTGCTCTTCTAGGCAGAGCAGACCCCATGCCATGTGTGAGCTGTGTGGGGATGTTGGCTGGGCTGCTCATTCCTACCAGGGAGGGTTTGTTGCCCTTTGGGGCCAGCTTGAAATCAGGTCGTTTGCTACAAGGGCTCAGGTTGTTCCTCATCAGTGCACAGCAAATCAGGCTGATTTCAGCAGAGTCCCTTAAGATGCCTGTGCCCAAGCAATTAGGCTTTGAATTCAGTAGCTGGGAAGGTATTTCCTTTTGCTTAGACCTGCCCTCCAGTTCTTGGCTGTGTGAGAAATGAGTGATTGGGACAATTACTTCAGGAAACCTGGTGTCCTTGTTTTGGCTTTGCAGAGCTGCTTCAGGGCCTGGGTTTTGAATTTGGGTCTGAGACTTAGGAACTGTGTTCAGCAGATACCTGGGTTTCCAGCTCAGGGTCAGTGTTGAAATGTCTTGACCTTGATAGTGAAGCTGGGGTATTCTGTGCTGCTGGTGTTGCCTTGGGCTCTCCAGCCTGCATGGAGCTGACCCCATGGTAAGCAGCAGAAAGGAGTTACCCTCTTGGTAAGTACCAAAGGTTGTTCTGCCTTGGGTGGTTCATTGTTCACTAATGAATGTGGTATTGACAGCTTTCAGCACTCAGCTCTGAGAAGTGAAAAAGATCTCTCATTGAGAGTTATATAATTGCTTTCTACGTGTAAGAGAACAGCTATTCAGCCTGTTTTGCATTGTACATACAACTAACTCACTGGTATGTCATGTCAGCTCTTTACTTCCCAGCACCAGCCTCAGGAAAATCCACTTGGCTCATCTGTGTGTGTGTGTAGTGGGTGTATGTGCATGAAGGGCAAAGGGGCAAGTCCTCATCTGCCCTGACCAGTGGGCAAAGTTGCTGCTAAAACATGGTGTGTTGTCACTGTAAATGTGATGCTTGAAAACAAAGCTGACTGTGTTTTCAATCCTCTTCAGAAACAAGAGTTGAAATCAAGGAATCAGTGCGGGGACAGGATATCTTCATTATACAGACAATCCCCAGGTAAGGGATGTGTGGCTCAGTTTTACAGCTGTGATATGCTTTGCATTTCTGGTTCAGGAGATTACTAGGTTTGCTCACTGTTAGCCAGTGTGATAACCAGTCTCTTCTCAGTGTTGTCATTGCTTTGACTTACATTTAAGAACACCACGTGGTGCTAAGTTATTAAAATTCCCTGAGGATCCCTAGTGCCACAGCAAACTGAGAAGCTTCCCATCAAATAGCTTGAGCCTGTCACTTGAGGCAAGAACAAGTATGACTGATGACTTCAGGTGAAACATCCCTGGTCTGTGTGTTGCTGTCTTTGTAGGCTCAGTTTCTTGGTAATTTCTGACCGGCATTTCCATTTCAGGATGTGTAGTTTCCTCTGCCTCCCAGTGACCAAGTAGCACAGCTGGATTACAGCTGGATTACTCTTCTCCTTTTCCTCTGGTGCTGTGAAGCAGCTCAGGTCAAGGCCCATAGCTTCTCTCCTCTACTCTTACAGTTCTTATTAATGTTGGGTCTTGTCAGATCCTGTCTGGTTGTTATTTTGAGCTGTTCTAGCCTTGGAATAAGAGGAAGGAGGAGTGCTGTGAGTAACCAGGGAGCTAGAAAGCCAGCTGGTAATCCCAGGAACCTTGCTGCTTGCTGGCTGAGGAAGAGTGTAGTGGGGCCACACTAGGATGGTGAGAGGGGAGCCTACATACAAATGGTAACTCCAAAGTGACCAACTATGAGTAGGGGAGATGCTGTTTTCAGGGATGAGGTATTGATAGGATGCCTTTTGCACAATTAGCAGGATAAGGATATTCTTGCTCTGATTGTTTTGGTTTTTTTCCAGTTACCAAATGCTGCTCAGATTTTGTAGATCACAAGAACTAATAAGCCCCAGAGTTAAAGCAGGTAGCAGAATACCCTGGAAACAACAGAGTTTTTCCTTGCTTCCCAAATAAATAGAGCCCAGTGAGAATTGAAGTTCATTTCCTCTTTGGTAATGCTTGGTCTGTTGTTAAAATAAATCAATAGGACTTCAAGATCAGCTTGCTCAGTTCTGGAGTTGCTTTTGCAGGTTGAGGCATTTTCCTAGAGCTCAACTCTCTCCAGAGAGATTCTCCAAGTGTTTCCTCCCTCAGAGAGCAACTAAATCTCCACAAGATGAAAATCAGGTGATGCAGTATTGTGTGTCAGATGAATAGTGTCATTCTCCTGTCCCTCAGGAGAGAGTTCCCTGAAATAACTTGTAACTGAGAGCTGTGGAAACATGAAACAGATAAGGTGTTCAGAGAGAGATAACTTGGAGTATTAGGAACAGCAGCAGTTTTGGGAGGGGAAAACTGTCCCTGCTTTAACTTGCTGATCCCCTTGTTTTTCCATAAACTGAATTAAATGTTGTGAGCCAAGATGTGGGACCTTTTTAGCCAAAATGTTCAAGGCTTTCCAGGTGAGGAACCACTGTTGTGCAGCCAGGTCATCTTGAGATGCAGCTGTGCCTTGCTGCATTGCTGGAGAGGACAGGTTCAAGGGCATCTCAGTTTTACAGTGGGTTTCAGGGAGCTTTTCAGGAGAGGCAAAAGAATTGTGTTGGGTAATCTAGGAATATGACTAATGCATACAGCAGTGGTTTGAAAAGCAGGCAAAAACATTAGGGTTTAGCAGGAAAGGAGTAGAGGGGGAAACAACCATGTTATGCTGCAGTGTGAGTTCACAGCCTGCATCTTAAATGCACAGAGAACAGAAAGACCTGAATATCTTGATTTAAGCTCCCTGTTCAAAAAGCATATAGCAGAGCTAAGAGTTTACAAAGACATGTATTGTCCAGGACTGTGTGAGCTGGCATTTGTCTGAGGGAAAACCAGGTAGCTTGTGTAGAAAAATGGGAGTTGATGGGTTACTGAAGGCAAAAGAAATCTCTGAGTTTTGAGTGTTAGTTGTTGCAACATCGACTGGCAGCTTCACAAGAGCCATTTGCACTGCCCTGAGAACAGGGATCTGCTGGGATGGTTCAGGCAGGGATGGGGAGCAGCAAGGGAGGCTCCAGGCTGCTGAGAGGGGTGGTAAGTAGGGCGTGTGGGACAGCTGAGCTGGCTCCAAGTGTCCTGGGAACGCGCTGCCGGTCCCTGTGTGCGGTCTTGGCTCAGGCCCCCCAGCCCATGCTCCAGGATCTGTCAGCACAGCTCCAAGGCAGGAGGTGAGGAGGGCAGTAAGGAGGGGGGTGCTCTGGGTACCCAGTTTGGAGATGCTGTGGCTGGGGTTCCACCACAGACTTTTACTTCCCCTAATTAGTCAGTGCCCCTTGCAGAGGAGCAGACCCACAAAGCATGCAGGGGGGTGGTCCTCACCACAGCAAGACCCTCAGGCTCCCCCCCTGTACCTTGCTGAAGGAACAGACACATCCACACCCACCTAGTGTCTGTGCTTGCTGGTCTGCAGGAGCTTCCTGGAGTCCATTATGGACTCCTGCTGGAATATGGAGAGAGTTGCTCCTCCTTGAGCAATTTCTCCATTGACATGGCTACCAGTGTCCCACAGCAACACTGGGACTGCTGGTGCCTTTTGAAATCAGTGATAACCCTTCTCCTAGGAGTAGTTTAATTCTCTATCTGCTTTCCATGTGAATATATATCTCTTTCTAAGAGTCATTTGGGTAGCATCTTTTTCCTCCTCTTGTGGCCCCACTGGCACAGCTGAAACACCGAAGGGAAGAAACAGTTCTTTGTTTGCTCGTTGTCCTACGTGGCAGGGGGCTGTGTTTTATATAATTGTTGGCTGGGTGCTTCAGAGCTAACAAAGCTTTCTTGTGTGTAAATGACATTGTGTGCGAGGGCTGGTGGGGCCAGCAGGAGAGCAGAGACCTGGAGCACTCGCAAATGAAGGGGCACAAAAGGGAGGTTAATTTCTGAAGGCAGGGGAGTGATGGAGAAACAGTTAGAGGTTTGTCACGGATCACACACGATCAGAGGCTCGAGAGATGGTATCTCTGAGCTCCTGGGGAAGCTGTCCCCAGTGGTCAGGAGGAAAATGGGTCCTTGAGCAATGTTTGGGTAGTGTCCAGAAAGCTCCTCAGAGGTTTCAGTTACTCTGTGCTGTTTATTCCTCTGCTGCATCCAGGATAGCCCAGTCAGCCCCTGCCTTGTCACCTTCACAGCTGAGCCCCAGCATTGTCCTCCTGGGGACCAGTCTGGGGAAGTGTCATTTGAGGCTACCCCTCCTGAGAACCCCCAAGCAAGGGTGTCTGTGTCCTAGCAGGATTGCCTGTCCCCTCTCTCTTCTCTGAACTCCACATTCCTCAGTTCTCAAATGGTCTTGAGACAGTTTGTGATGATGCAGCCTGTGTCACTTTTGATATTGGTTTTCAGGAGCTAAAGGAGCTTGGCTTGCTCACCTCCACCAAAACAACAGCCTGGACCCTGTACTGCTCTAGAAAGCAGCCTTTCTTAAGGCAGGAAAAATAACCTGCTTTACATTCTTAAGAATAAAAATACCCCAATAAATTCAGTGTGGATGAAGTTATGGTGGCTGCATGTGTGGTGCTTCTCTAAGACACTATTTTATTTCAAAATACACTGTGTGAAGTGGTATTTGCTACAACATTAATGAAAAAAAAAAAAAGCCTTGTTGTTGTTGTTGTGGCCATGGGAGCAGATCACACACCTCGTGTTGGAATATAAAATCAAATTTTGGTCCACAGCTCTTGAGTGCTGGAGTTGCTGCTGTGCATATCACACTGGATTGGAATGTGCTGTGCCATGATGGAAGGAGCTTTGTGATTTCAGTCCAGATCTTGCACAGATTACCAGGAGCTGTAGCACTGTGTGTCTGGAAGCTTGAGGAGGATGAGTATGAAAGGAAAAAGGATTGCACTAGAGAAGCACCTGCTAATATTTGGAATGATTTTTCAAATCTCCTAGAGATGTAAATACTGCTGTGATGGAGCTGCTCATAATGGCATATGCCCTGAAGACATCCTGTGCCAGGAACATCATTGGGGTCATCCCTTACTTCCCCTACAGCAAACAGAGCAAAATGAGGAAGAGAGGCTCTATAGTCTGCAAGCTATTGGCTTCCATGCTGGCCAAGGCAGGTGAGTGTCCCAGGGAGCAGCACAGCAGTTTTGGGTGCTGCAGGGCATCCCAGAGGGTGTCTGTCCTTCCCTTCTTCTCACTTTGGGGGAGGAATTTAATTTTTTTCAGCTTAGTTTTGTTTCTTGGTAGCTGGCACCTGGGGAAGTGGCCTAGAAGTGTCATGTTGAAGTAGAGGGTCAGCCCAGTGCTGCCTCATCACGTGCCTGCTTCTTAGAATGTCTTTGGAACTTTTCACATCACCCTGTTTGTGCTTATTTTATCACATGATATCATAGTCTGAATAACAGCTCAAATAGTCTGAAAAATGGAAGATGTTTGAGGAACTCTGTGGAATGTCTCAAGGAAGTATTATATTTTTTTTTTCATAGGTTTAACACACATTATTACTATGGACCTTCATCAAAAGGAAATTCAAGGTTTCTTCAGCTTCCCAGTAGACAACCTGAGAGCATCCCCTTTCTTGCTGCAGTATATACAGGAAGAAGTGAGGTTACTCTAGTTCTGTAAATACAAACTTGTCTTAACCAGTCTGTGAGGCTGCATTGTTGGGCCTCTGCTGATGCAGAGGTGGTGTTGTCAGGCCAAGTGGATCATCCTGTTCCTGAATTCTTAGGGGGTACCTATTGCATGATTCTTAGGAGAGTGGGAAGGTGTTGCAGTGTTGACCATAAGCAGAAGCTGAACTTGCTCTTTGCAAAGTTAGTGCCATTTGAGAGATGCTGTTTAAGCTCCTGCCTGTAATCACCTTTTAAATCCTGTTCAACTGTCTCCTCTCACTCCTGGTCCTGCAGTGGATATTTGGCTGCTCTGAATTATTGATAGACTTTGTCTTGGCCTGAGCACAGGAATGCTGAATGCAGTAGCTGGGGGCAGGGCATGGAAGTTTTATTTTCCATGTGGTGATTTATACCCACACTGTGAGAGCAAGACCTCCCCACACGGGGAGAGCAGGCCCTGGGTTTTGACCTGTGCCTGTGGACAGAAGCAGCTGCAGCCAGGCCATGCAGGGCAGGTTGAACTCAGCTCCACAGGCCTGGGCACAGCCTGTGGGCACCAGCAGGGAAGGAGGCACAGTCATGTGCAGAGTAGGACCTGCAGTAGTGCCTCTGCTAAACTTAGAGAATCACAGGATGGTGAAGGTTGGAAGTGACCTCAAAAAATCATCAGGTTCCAACCCCCCTGCTATAAGCAGGGACACCTCCCACCAGCCCAGGCTGCACAAGCCTCATCCAACCTGGCCTTGAACACCTCCAGGGAGGGGGCAGCCACAGCATCCCTGGGCAACCTGTTCCAGCATCTTACTACCCTCATGGTGAAGAGTTTCTTCCTAATGTCTAACCTACATCTCCCCTCTTCCAGTTTCTAACCATTACCCCTTGTCCTGTCACTGCCCTCTCTGGTGAAAACTTCTATATGTTGCATTTGGGGCAGAACACACCAATATTGGCATTGAAAACAAGTGCAGTTCTTTCTAGTTTCTTGCCACAGAATGAAGATTTGGGTCTGGGGAAGGAGAGTGGGCATTGTTATTCAGCCATGTATTAAATCATTTACTTGCCAGCAAGAAGATCTTTACTGAAATAATTTTTTCTCACATCCAGATTCCAGATTACAGAAATGCAATTATTGTAGCCAAGTCTCCAGATGCAGCTAAAAGGTAAATACATTCTTTACTAGCTGGTTAAAAATAACTTGGAAAAGGTCTGGGCTGATGGGAAATGCACCAGGAAAAATCTGGGAGGGTTGCAAATGGATTCAGCAGTCTGGTCTATATGTCCTTTGTGGCTGGAAAGTGGTTAGGTGGCTCTAGTGGTGCAGATGGGCAGCTGGATTTTGCAGTTCCAACCCTGTGGGAGTAAACTCTGGAGGTCTCTGCTGCTACAGAGCTAGGTGGTTCACCTGGGGCTTGGACCAGACTTGCTGCATGAGTTTCAGCAGTGCCTGAGCACTTCAGCAAACATCTGGCATCTGGAGGAATAGCAGGAGTTGGAATATTGAGGAGGAGTCAAAAAGTCTCTTTCAGTGAAGTTTCTTCCTGGGGAGCAGCCGCAGAGGTTGCAGGCTTTGCTTGTTGGGTCTGGGAGAGGCCTGCTGCTCTGGGCTGGGAAGCTGCACCATCCCAACATCTTCCTGACATGCTGGTGTTGTCCTGCAGGGCTCAGTCTTACGCTGAGAGGCTGAGGCTGGGGCTGGCAGTGATCCATGGAGAGGCTCAGTGCACAGAGCAGGACATGGACGATGGACGCCACTCCCCTCCGATGGTCAAAAATGCAACTGTGCATCCTGGCCTGGAGCTGCCATGTAAGATGATGCTTCTCTGCTTATCTTTGGGTAAAAGAAGGAAAGTTTGGTGGGAAATAGCTGTTGGTTTAGCTGGGTAGGTGTAACCAGCCTGTTGACAGTTAGACCAGAGGAGTTTTTCTCATGGAAAGGCTGATACCGATGACTTGTAGCAGAAGGGTCCTGGGGAAGGTTTTTGTTTAACTCTTTCTGGCCATGCAGAATATCAGGGTAGCTCCTCTTGGCTGTGTCCATTCAACACAGTTGGACTGATAATCCTCTTAACAAAAGTGGTACTTTTAGAGTGGTCAGCAGGAAAAACTCATTGAAACAGAAAAGGAGCAAAAGTGTAGCTAACGTGGGAGCAGCCACTGAGACAGACTGTTGTCCCCAGCCTGGAGGGGAGGGTTGGCCTTTGTCTTCCCCTTCTGCTGTAGCCATTGTCACAGCTGGAAATGTTCTTCATTTTGGCAGCCAGGTGTGTTTTGACAAGGTTTTGAGATTTGTGTGACTAGGGTGAATAGGTTCCCCAAGAGCTTTGCTGAGCTGCTTTGCCTGCTCTTGCCATCAATTGTAAAGCACAGAGCAAAGAGAAAAAAGGAGGAAACTTGAATTTGGGGAAATGCCATCCTCTTAGGATTGCTTGTATTCCTGCAACAGCAGCAGTTAAGCAACAAGAGTAGAATCAAAATCCAGGTCCCCTTGGGGAGGATTTTAGCTTTCTAGGTGGATGGTGGTGGGACACAAACACTGGGAGTGCAGTGAGTGTGGCTGAGAACTGACCGTGGGAAAGGATGCAGGGTGCTGTGTGTGATAAGGAACTATCCATCATCCAACCCAGCTTAATTACACTGGCAGTGGCTAGGGTGACTGATAAGAGTCTCCTCTTGTCTTTTGAAGTTCAGGGAGAACATCCAACCAGTTTGTGGGCAAGCAGGACTGCAGGCATTTTACATTACCCCAGTCATTGCTCACCATAATACAATCAGTTAAACAATGCTTGTGTTGCTGGTGAAACTCCTCTTGGGCCTTCAGGGGCAGGTGGGGTTTGACAGTGAAGTTTGGGACTCCATCCTAGTTGTCCCCTTCTGATGAGGGGATTTTTTCCATGTGCATCCAACTCAACAGGAATTTGCATGGTTACTCTTGGTCTTTTCCTCCCCCTCCTACTCTGAAGAGGATACTGTCCTCCAAAACACCACCAGTTGACATTTGTCTGCTACCAGGGCATTGATGTGATTTTTGTTTGTGTGGTTTTGACTGTGACAAAAACACATGGACTGTGTTGTTATTTCCAGCAGTGTCACTTGAAGGAGAAGCTCAACTGTGGGAGCTTGTGCTGCTGGAGAGCCCCATAAATGGTAGCCCATACAGAAATGTGCCCTTGTCCACTTTAGTTATGATCCCAGTGGAAAAATGTTTTCAGTCTCCAGCTATCCAAACATGAACTAATTTGCTGTGTATCACCACTTTCTTATTTTATCTCCTGCAGAAACTCACTGCCTGCCTAATGACCTTACATTCCTGCCTCAGGCACAAATGTAAAACAAGCTGGGACTTGGTAGCTGTGTGTCAGGGGCAAGAGGTGGGGTGGGTTATAGGGTGAGCTTGTCCAGAACTCTTGAGTAGAAAGTTGCTTTTTCTTTCCAGTTTTTCTTTCTAGTTTCTTTTCTCTTAATAGATACCTGGTTTTGATTGAATTTTGAGTGAATTGGGCTCTATTACTGAAGGTGCAGAATACCAAGGTGATGTCTAGCTAAAAGCAATCTATAAGTTTCTAGTGTGTCCTGGTGGTGTTGCAGCTTCTGCCATGGGTCCATTCTCTGCCAGAGGTGAAAATCCAGCTAGAGTTAGGGATGGCAATGCTGTGAGTCTGTACTTACCTTCTCTGCTGCACCTCCTTTCTTGTCCCGTTCAGTCACGTGACAAATGTCTTCCCACCTCAAGAGGCCCATCAAACATCTCCATCAGCTCTTCCCACCTCTTGAACCATCCCCAGCAATCCTGGTGGGGTCAGGTCTGATGGCAGAATGAAGCAGGGTGCAACTGTGTCCCTGGATTGTTTATGAGAGGAAGGACATGGGCTGCTTGCCCAGAGCTCTGTGCTTCCTTACACCAAAACTGGCCAGAAAAACTTCTGATTGTCCAAACAGGTCTCCAGGTCTGGATACCACAGATGTGTATCTGGGCAGTTGGGGTACTTCTAGGGGGCTGAGCATCTTCCTCTGGGCTCCAGCCAGATCAGTGTGGATCCAATCCTCCCTTTCCAGACTCTGCAGGCTGGGGCTCCCCAGCAGTGGCACTGCAGCCAGAAGAGATGTGAAACCTGTGGCTGGGACCAACCCCAGAGCCCTGCAGCAGTGACTTATACTTTGTCTTTTTTTTTATGGGCTTCCTAGTGGATGGGCTGGGCCCCTGCATCCTGGCATGCACCTTTTCTCCCTATTCTAGTCGAGATCAGGCACCTTTAGCTAACAAGTGTGAAGCAGCTTGATGGCTTGTTTATTGTCCTGAGAGTGCAGCCTGATGTGATGCTCTGGTTTGGTGGCATGTGGAACTGTAACAGAAAAATGCCAAAGGTGCTTCCAGTTGCACTTCTTCAAGTGCTGTACCAAAGTGACAGGTCACTCAAAACCCTGTCTCAAAACCCTCTGAGACAGGATGTCAGTCCCAGGTTGTTCTCTTTGATCCTGAGCTCTTTGTGTCTCAGAGCTTGGGGCTGAGCTTTAACAAATGCTTTTGGACTCTTTGCTCCTCCTCAAGAAGGGAGCAAAGCACCATCTGTTAGATCATTTCAGTACTTCATACAGATGGCTAATGGGCTGCTTCAGACCCAGAGCCCAGCAAACTGCCATGAAGGGTTTGGGTGGAAAACTTGGAGTGACCACAACTCGGCTCCTGCTTCTCTACCCCCATCTCTCCTGTGTTTGGCCTGGGGCCCAGGGATGTTATCAATCCTTCCAGGTCCCTCTCTTCACAAATCAGTTTGTTCCTGTTGCCTTTTGCTGTTGTAAATGCAGCATTATTTTCCTTGGTAATTAATTGCTTTAATGCACACAATCAGCTTCACACAGAATTTGTTTTAGCAATTCTTAACCCGTTTTTCACCACTTAATTAAAGCAACAGGTTTGTACACCTGGGAATGCTGTTTCTTTAGACCAGTGATCATCTCACCTCATCATCACACGTGGGACTTTGGTGTAAAATTACATCAGAGTGAAGGTGCAGGTTAGAGCACTTGACTGAGCTTAATTCCTCACCACCCCTCAGTGTTCTTTTATATTCTTGTTTTAGAAAAGCAGTGTTTGTTTTTCTTTTCTATCTTTATTTTTCCCCCAGAAGCTACAGATACCCCAAGCATCTTTCCTTACTCTCCAGAAAAAAAGCACCTCAGCAACTCTTTTAACATAAACAAATACATAATCCAAGGGGTTACACCAGGCCAAAGAACAGCCCTGTCTTACGCCTGTTGCCCTCTTTTTGTCTACATACAAATAGAGGTTTTGTGCTTGGGAGGAAAAATGCTCTTTGTTATTTGAATCATTTCTCAAGTCACCTTCTGGTAGGAGTTCTGACTTGCACATCTTGATATCTCCAGATGTGTTGAAGAAAGAGAAACTGGCCACAATAACCCTTGCACAAGCTCTCACCACGTTGGAGCAACCCGAGTTCTCTTGCAGTTTGATGTGGTTGTGGATAGATCTTTGGCTTGCAATTTTTTTTCTTTTCTTTGCAGAGAAAATTGAACCAGAAAAAGGGAGAACATCTCTTTAGGATCCGGGTAGGTCCACATGTTGCCTACCATACATCAAAAAGCAAACTTGAAATGCAGCACTTAAAAAAACCAGATAAGAGATGTGGAGCACTGCTGATGTTGCTAGTTGCTTCCTTTATGGAACCAGGAGGATACTGGTTTGCTGAAACTTCCTGTGTTTGTCAGTGAAATGGTGCTGAGTCTCAGCTCCCTGAGGTCTGTTCACCATTGCTTAGAAGAGAGTTCCCCCCAAAGCTGGCTGTTGTAAGCAGAAATCCACACTCATCTGTGGATGCACACAAAGGATGGGATGGCAGGCAGATGGGATCCTTTTGGTATTTCACAGCTCCCACCAGGAGTTTTGTTACTGTCCAAACTAGATGATAAACTAATAACTAGTCTAAGCAGGTAGGTAGTGCCTGTAATTGAAATTTACAGTCTGCTTATCTCTTGTGACATTTAATCTTGGTTCATTACAAGTACTTTTCCTTCTCATAAGAACATTTTCCCTCCAGGATTTAGATGTGACTTTGCATTTGATAGGAGACTCAGAAATAACAGTGCAAGGGAGGCTGAGGAATCATTCCTCCAAAATCCAAGGTGACTTTGACTACAAAACCTAGCAAGGAGTAATGGAACTTTGGTCAAAACAGATCTGTTGAGCACCTTTTGTACCATTTGGGTGGGCTTACAGGAGACCAGGGTGTGGGGTGGGTTGTGTATATGAAGCACAGCTCTACACATCAATCTTCAAGGCTGTGGTCCTTAAATGCTTTCATCACCATCCCTCAGTCTGACTCACTCACCCAGCTGTGCTGGCACTCCAAGCATTTCCAGGCACTCCTGAGTTGTGGGGATAGTACTGGATCAGCCTGCTGTGCAGGATGAGGAGTTTCATGTAGGACTTTTGGACCCAGGAGGGCAGAAATCAATGTTCAGACAGGCTTTTTGATGGGCAATGGTTTGTGTTCTCATGCTGCTCAAGTGTTACATTGAAGTATGTTATCTTAAAGGAGGAAAATCTTGCAGTGTGGGGTGTCCAAAATGCCTCAGCACTTGAGGAGCCTTTGTGGCCAGAATCCAGGCAAGACCTCAGCTTATGGAGAGATGGGGTACAAAGTTCCTTTGCAGGACAGTTTTCTGTAGAGTGTAAAATCTTGGGGGTGCAGATGAGCCAGAGAAGTTTTATAAAGTGCTGGATGTTCCTCTTTGCTCTGGTGGGTAGATCAGCCCAGATGATCACCTAATGACACATGCATGCCCACCACTGTGTCCCTCCCATACTGGGGGGACTTTTTACTGTGTTCACTGTCTAAAAACCAGCACCCTCTGGCAGGTGGGAGGTTTGTCTGATGGACACCAAGTCCCTGGCCAGTATCAAAGGCTGTTTGATGTGAGTCTGATGTTACAGCTGGACACTCTCAGTGCATTCGAGTTCATATCCCTGATATTCTTTTGTCCTGCTGCTGGAAGTTGTTCAGGATAAAAAACCTTGTCACACGTGGTTTTGCATGGGCTGTGTCAGTGCACAAGTAGAGGCAGGAGGGAGTGGAACCTTAGGGGTCTTCTCTGTGTGTCAGATAGCACAGCTTATCAATGTATAATTCTGCTTCCAATTGCTGGTTGCACTGAGCTTGAACTGAATTTGAACTGGATTTTTTTCCTGCTCTTTTCATTTAATCCACTTTAAATAAATAAATAAATAAATAAAAATGAGCACATTTGCTCCTGCAAATTTCCTTAAGTTTTCTTTGCCTGAGCAGGTGTTACTAAGGTACTTACACCCTCTGCAAGAGCCTTGTGTGTTTGGTGTTAGGAGAGAAGGCCTGTAGTGCCAGTCTCAGATCCCTCAGATGAATTTAAAGAGTCTAACAGGTGAAAAATTGCATCCTGTGAAGTCTATGTCCTGTGAGAGGTGGTGCTTGGGGAAACCCATTTATTGTTCCCAGTAATGAAATACCCCTTCTTTCAAGTCCTGTTCTGGAGCACAAAGAATGTCACTGTCATTTCCCATGAACTGGGTGCTGCTTTGTAGCTCTCCTTGCACAGGAGTCTGTTAGATGATTGGATTTGCTGAGATCATTTCGAGGTCCCCCCAGAAACTGAAAGTTTGATCCTTATTCAGCAGTGCTGTTAATTTAAGGAGGAAAAGGATGGTTAGAAACCAGTGGTTACCCACTTAGGGGAGTGCCAGGGTAATGTAAAGCACACATCTGTGTCTGAGTAGCAATACAAGATGTAGTTAAGGGCTGGGCCTCTTGTGTGGTGGAGCTGCTGTGGTTTGACTCAAGGCTAATTGAGCTGGACTTCTTTTTGCTTCTTCTTTAGTGATGATGGCCAAGGAGAAACCACCAATAACTGTGGTTGGAGACGTTGGAGGAAGAATTGCCATCATTGTGGTATGAGGGTGATGGAGAGGAGGGGTGAGGGGTGGCTTCCCAGCATCTTCTCTTGAGCTGTTTTATCCCACAGATAGGGATTAGGGATTGGGACTGCTGGGGCAGGGGTGGGAAGGTGATTGTTACCACTGTTTGCTCCACTTCTGCTGGTGGCTTTGGTGATTCCAGCTTTCTGTTGAAAACCCCTTGTACTTCAGTGCTTTCAACACTGAAATCTGCTCCCTTGTAATCTACAAATGCCAGATGTCTCTGTTTCTTGGGACACAAATCCAGGACATGCCGAGAAATCTCCTGAAGTGTTTAAAAAACAAACAAAACTTGCTGAGCTACTTGTGCTGCAGTGTGAGTAATCAACATGCAGCTACTCTCCCCATGAAACCAAAGCCTTGCTTGAAGATAAGCTCTGGCTGTGTGTGTGCATGTGCAGGGACTTGTTTGCAAGCCATAATATTTCTTTTGCACACTAGTGAAAGGGTCTGTAAATCAGGAAAATGGTGTTCACAGATTGAAGCTGGGCACGTAGCTGTCCTTGCACCTCAGCAGCACCTAAAGGATTGGGTTTTGGTTTTTAGGGTGTCTGCATGGCCAAAGCTGCAGAACCTTGCAGGTCCACTCCTGCCCTGCAGGCAGGGTAAACTTCTGGGCTTGATGTTGTTTCTGTTTCTTCTCAGGATGACATCATTGATGATGTGGAAAGCTTTGTGGCTGCTGCAGAGATCCTGAAAGAGCGGGGAGCCTACAAGATTTTTGTGATGGCCACTCATGGGCTCCTGTCAGCAGATGCCCCTCGTCTGATAGAGGAGTCCTCCATTGATGAGGTGAGTCTGCTCTCTGCACTAAGGGCTGGCTCTGGGGGCTGGGCTGCTTGAAGGCACCAAAACCCACCAACTGCTGTTCTTCTCTGCCACAGAGCTCATCTCTGAAATGTCTGGTTTCCTCAGATGTTTTCAGTTAGCTGGTTCCTCCTTGAAGAGCAGTCAGTGTGTGTGATTGATGCTTGTTCAGATCAGAGCTGCTTCCCTGTGTGTGTTTTCTCCCTTGTGCACAGATATTAGTCCTGCCTGAATACTGGGTGCAAGGGTCTGCTTTGTCACTCTACAGACCACCTGCCTGTCCCTCTGCCCCAGCTGAGGAGGGGATGTTGGGTGCATGAAGAGATGTCAGACCTCTCCCTCAGTAACAAACATGTCTGACCCTGTGATCTAAATGGACCTGTCATATGTGGGACTTCTGGCCAGGGTGTGTAGTGAGAGGACAAGGGAGGATGGATTAAGACTGGAAGAGTCTGGATTTAGGTGAGACATTAGGAAGAAATTCTTGAGTGTGAGGGTGGTGAGACACTGGAACAGGTTGCCCGGGGAAGCTGTGGCTGCCCCATCCCTGGCAGTGTTGAAGGGCAGGTTGGATGGGGCTTGGAGCAGCCTGGGCTGCTGGGAGGTGTCCCTGCCCATGCAGGGGGTTGGGACTGGATGATCTTCAAGGTCCCTTCCAATCCAAACCATTCTGTGATTCTCTGATCAGCCTGTGTGGGGGTGACTGTTGCAGACTTCTGGTTATGCCTGTCCCCTCAGCAGATTGACTGTCATGTGGGGGGGATAATTTATTTTGATCTTTTATTTTTTTCCTAACAGAACAGGACTTCCCCCCCAGCTGAGAAGCAGCAGCTACACCCCTCTGCTGCAGTTACCCCGGCCAGCCGTGAGAGCGAGTGTATCAGCAGCACAACTCATGCTCTTTTCTTTCTCACTTTCTAGGTAGTAGTAACCAACACAGTTCCTCACGAGGTCCAGAAGCTGCAGTGCCCCAAGATAAAGACTGTGGATATCAGTTTGATCCTCTCTGAAGCCATCAGACGGATTCACAATGGGGAGTCCATGGCTTATCTGTTCCGCAACATCACCGTGGATGACTAGACCTGGCTCTGCCCCTCTCCTGGCTTCCACAAGAGAAGGAAACATGCATGAAAAGGCAATACCATCAATTATAGGCATAACACAACTCTTTATTCTTGTAGGGGCATGAAGGTTTTCAGGGTCTTGAGCCACAAGATCTAATAGAAAAACAACCAACCAACCTGACCAGCACTTTACAAGTGTATAGAAGAGCCCACTGGCAGTGGGGGAGGATTGGATCTGTAGAGAGATGGAGAAATGAGGTGGTGTTGAATTTGTAAGATTTTTTATTTTTTATTTTTTTTTAGTCTGTTATCTCTTGCCCTGTAGGGGGAGAAAGAAAAGCAAAAAAAAAAGAAGTAGCTGTTGGCTTATGAGAGGGGAACTAGTGCCTGTTGCTGTGTGTGGGCACAGGAGGAGGCAGCCTTTGGGTGTCTGTGACTGGCCTGGCAGGGCTGCTGCTGGCAGAGCTGAGCAGCAGCTCCTTGCCAACCTGGTGGCCTCTCATCTCCTGCACAGCTTAGCAAGGACTTTCACCCAAACTAAGTCAGTGGAACATCCCAGCAGGGCCACTTAGGGCCACCCGTTCACAGGGCTGCCACTGTCCTTGTTGGGGGGGCTGGGAACAAGCTCCTGTGTGCCTCCCAGCAGGGCAAGGGGTTCTAGTTAATGTGTTGGCCTTTTCATTTTGCAAGCCTTGGATCATTATTGTTCTTCAATAGCAAGTAACAGGGGGGTCTAGGTCCTTACTTGAACACTTGTCTGCACTGCAAAACCAGGTGCAATTTCTGGAGTTGCCTGAGGCTGAGGAGTTGTGGCAATCTTGTGGGGAGGGGGAGTTGGAACAATGTCTGCCTCTAATGCAGCTGTGCTCTCCAAAAACACTAACATTGAACCTGCAATAAAAAGCCTAGGATTTTTCAGTTGTGATGCTTCCTGTGAATGCTGCTGGGTTTGTCCCCTGGGGCCGTTGCTGTAACCAGGCTTAGGTGGAGTTTTGAATCATGGAAGGGTTTGGGTTTAAGGGACCCCTTAGGCAGGACCCCTGCTTAGGCAGGGACCCCTAGACCAGGTTTTCAAGCCCCATCCCACCTGGCCTCCAACACTCCCAGGGATGGGGCAGCCACAGTTTCTCTGGGCAACCTGTTCCAGGGTCTCACAGCAAAGAGTTTCTTCCTCATGTCTAACCTTTCTCCCCTTATCCAGTCTTAATCCACTACCCTTGTCTTCGGGGGGAAGGAGGGCTCGCTGAGAGCTCCTGGGCCAGGTGCCGCTGGGCCTGGCCCGGAGGCGACACACGAGGAAGCCCCCGAGGTGCTTTTGTCTCCAGGAGTTCCCAAACTCGGACTTTGCCCCTGGGTGGTGCCCCGGGGGGCGGGGCGTCGCCTAGCAACGGGGACGCTGCGCCGTGCCTGACCAATGGGATGACGAGGAGAGGCGGGTGCTGACCAATGGGAGCAGGAAGGGGGCGGGCTCAGGGGCGGGGCCGGGAGGCTGCGGGTTCGAGCCCCGCGGGGTCCGGGCAGTGGGGAGGAGGGAGAGGAAGGGCTGAGGCTGATCGGC